AAAAAAAAAAATGGACTCCATTTCTAATGTTCTTAAAAGCTTTCCTTTTCACTTGTGTGCTGGCTCAAATCCAAAAGGGATAAAACCACAGCTCTGTAGTCATCACAGACGTCGCCAGTGCTCCAGTTCTCCCCGCCATCCCACCCAGCGGCCATGCCGTCCATTAAACGAGATAGATACTTCCTATGACCATCCCATTGTGGCTGGACAGGAACCGCTCCATCAGATTACAGGATGTCATATGCAGAAGTCTTACTTCCTGTTTGCCCAAGGCACAAGGATCGGGTGTCAGCCCTCTGTCATCAAAAAAACCCCATCATCCTCCTTTCCTCCCTTCATCCCCCTCTCTGCACCCACAAGGCCACTGACCTTATAAATGTACTCTGTGACAGCTAACATCTGGTCAAATACACGGGGCCAGTCGGCCCGTCTTTGGGGGCGTCTAAGAAGACTGTACACAAGCTCAGGGTTGGAGATTCTCAAACACTTCATTCAGTCACATGCAAACAGGTTGATAGAGGCGACTATTTGAATTTGTTTTTTGGGGCTTTTTGTCTCATTTTGGTACCTGCTCCTGGGAGCGCTCAACTGCACCGAAAGTTACCAGAGACATTACTACTTAAATCCTTCGTATGAAACAAAAAGGAGCACTTCAATCACTCACTCATTTCTCTCCAGGTGTAGTTTGAGCTCCCGGCCCTCGGCTGAGATCAGAACCTGAGCTTCTGCAGGATGCTGGAGGGGGAAAAAAGAGATTGCAGGAAGTGGTCAAACAAAAGCGTACTTACATTACATACGATTTTTTTTTTTTTTAAATCAGTTTTCTTTTTTATTATTACAGATTCACCTCTTTGCCAGCAGACCTCCTGTGTCTGTAACGATGCAGCCATGTGGGATAAGTAATCTCATAACTCTGTACGTGATCAAGGATGCTCCTCAGGGAACCCTGCTTATTTTCTCCTGATGAAAAACAGAAAAAAAAGGAGGAAACATTTCAAATGACCATGTTGTGGGTGGTCTGCAGCATATGCACTGAAATTACCTGAAATTGATTTGGTTTTTTTTCACTTATGCATTGGATGATTCACTTTTTAACAGAGATAATTATGCATGCCCAACAAGCACGTTGCATTTTGAAACTGGAAAGACATTCCAACGCAATGCCGATCTAGTTTCCCCCGAGACATGCAGGCTACAAATTCGGGGAAACAATCAGACTCACCGTTGTAAACAGCGCCTTCAGACAGAGCAGCAGCAGCCTCGGCACAGTGGAGGAGAACTAGGAGGCACAGGCACAGGGAGGGCTGCACGGCATCGGCAGGAGGAGGACGCGCTCCTGGACGCATTCTAACAGCAAGCGGCTCCCGATGAATCTGCTACACTGAGACATACATGTGCGGTTAACGAGCCTCGGGTGTCTCAGACCAGATTGAGAGGACGCCGCCGGCGTGACATCGCGATAAGCCGCTGCTGCTCGTCTGAACGAGATGCCTGCGGAGTCCGCGGGGCGCACGGCGCTCTCGTTCTCAACCACTCCCCTTCGTCATTATTACTCACACACGCACGCACGCACGCACGCGGAGAGGGACAGTGTGCTCGCGGGCTGAGGTGAGGCAAGATAAGGTGGGATATGATGAAAAAGGTACGCGTGAGCGACACTGACATCCTGATGGAAGAAATGGGGAACAATGTGGACCACTTTTTCTTTTTTCTTTTTTTTTTGCGTTAGCTTAATCTTAGGCGTTAGAAAAGGAAAAAAACGCAATTAATATTTGTGTGTATATTTTTTCATTCTTAATCTATAATAATGATAAAAACAAGCATCATTAAACGATTGTGCAACGAGTTTCATAATTGAAGGGGTTGTTTAAGGACTATCTGCATTTTTTCATCACCATTTCTTAAAGGGGTATCCTAGCAATTTATTATCATACTTCGATTAAGTTGGTGGACTCACAAGAGACAGATTAAAACAGAAAAGAAAAGAAAAGACCGAAATAGCTCCACTTTTAGTCATTACAGTATGTTTCAAGTGGAGATAACCCTGAGGACATCACTGCATCTTCAGTTATCTTCTCAGACCACTGAAGACATTATACAACCATTTTCACCACCGGAGTAGTATGACAATTAAACCAACTTTTTTGTGTAGAATCGAGTACATTATTAATTATCAGAATTCATTATTATAATGCTGCATTCACCCAACGTTGGCAGAATGAGAAAAACAGTAAAACTTCCTTTTATTCTGAATTGGGAGTGTTCCCACATTATTCCAAAATGGTTATTATCCCAACTGATGTAATATGCCTTGTAGTCACACCACTTAAATTGCCTGAAGTATTTGGAAGGATTTCTTAACAAGTGAAAACACATACAAACGGGTAAATAACCTTTTGAGTTAGCTGAATCGATTGCATTACAGCACAATGGATTTTACTCCGCTGTTCGTTAGTGGCTCTGCAGCCATGTTGGCATCAGTTTGTTCTGTGGTTCTTTTCAACAAGTGGGCGATGCTGTCTCCTTGGCCTACATGCACATTTTGTTTCCACTCGTTTGCTCTTAATTGCAGTCTGAACACTACGACGTAAAAGCAGCTTACTTCTCAGGGGCTACGTGACGAATCACAACCAAGTACAGGAAATATTTTTCAAAGAGCTATTTAAGGACAGTTTTATTGAGGTTGTGTCGACTTTTTCCTCGTTTTTTTTCTTTCCCAACCAGGATTAAGTTCAGGCCCTGCAAATAAACACATGCTGTCTTTAAATAACCACACCACTTGCCTCAACATGTTCTGGTCACTTAGATACCTTCTATACTATAAGGTCGTATGTCGAGTCACGTGTTGGCACTGGTCCAAGTGAACTGATCTAAGCATTGGGTTAATGTCTTTAAGAAAAGAGCAACTTCTGCAATCAGAACCTGTTTTTGTACACCGTAGTTCATTTAAGTGCAGTGTGTAATTGTTCACCAACTTATTATAGAGGTCTTATTATAACAAATGGGCTTTAGAGAAATCATTTGATCCCAAATGCTGAAGAGCTGAGTTGGATCCTGGTTACATAAAGTACAGTGGAGAAGCTACATGATGTTTCTTTTCAAAAAACAAGGTCAGAAGACCAAAAATACTGTAACCGAGCCTACTACGCAGTATCAAAATACAGTTGGCTTCTACCACTCCAGGAATCCAGCAGCCATTCATACTGAGCCGGTCATTTATAAGTGCAATGATAAATATGCCACAGAGCACATGTCAGAGGGCTGGCGTGTACGCAGCAGGGTGTGTGAGGTATTCTTAGCACCGGTGACAGTGCAGGCCGCCAAATCCATTCACATCTCTAAATGGCGTCCTGGCTGCAAGACAAGGCCACTCGGTCCTGCCAAGGTATTGGTTCGTGCTCCACTCTGCTCATTCCTGGCTCAGATATGCTCTTTCTTACTACGGACTAAGTGATATTGAACACTTTGCAGATAGGCTTCCGGAATCATTTAAAATTCAAAGATTAGGAACCTGAACAAAAAGAAGAAAACAAAGCAAGATAAAGAGAACAGTGGGGTCAAGAGGTGTCATGTTAAAAGAAAGACGGTGATGGTAGTATTTAAATGATATTCATGATATCAAATGAAGATATATTTTTGGAAAAGCAACCTTAGTAGAGCATGACAAGGAGTGGGAAGACCTGAGGGGCAGAATCAGACTGCTGTGTGTGTCCTCAACACCCGCTGCTAAAAAAGATTATGAAATCATCTGCTTCCCTTTGAGCATGACAGGTATCATCATCAATTTAAGCAGAAAACGTCCCACTTTAAGGCAACATTATGATTGAAGTTTAATACGTAGAAGTATGAATATGTTCCGGCTGTGAGAGAGTAATCGTACAGAGTCAACCATCAAAGGCTTCAGTCTCGGAAAAAACGCTCTTACGAGGGATCCAAGGGGCCCTGAGCTTCACGGGTAGCATGCTGTTTGACACAGTTGTTCATCTACATCAGTCAACATCAAGCCGCTCTATCATATGTCCACTGCTCGCATGGCTCCGCTCAGTTCAGTCATGTTCTCCTGCAGCAGCACAGGAGCCGTCATCAGGCGTCGTCCTCCAGGATGTCCGGGTGCTCCTCCCAGAACTGCTCTCCTATGATGTCGCCGTGGTGGGCGTGCACCCGCCTCCTGCTGCGAGTAACGGCCACATCCTCCTCCTCTCCGTTCGGCCGCTTCACGCGCTTGGTGGCAGTTTCATCTCGCTGGACACAAACAATGAGGAATATTGGTAGTACAGTTAAAGGCAACCTGGAGGACAGCGGTGTCACGATTCCATTTAAACATTTTGTTTCATGGTGCTTTCAACAGTCAAAAAAAGCCACTGGATCCTGGCAATCACGTCCTGCTATATTTGTCGTGTTGCCTGAGGTGGCGTGTGGTACCTGTGCGTAGCAGAGCCTACAAACTCTAGTTTTATTCTGTCAACGAAGCGTTCGTTGTCTACAGAACTCTTGGGCAAGGCAAAACATTGCCCCACCGGTGACCTCAGGGAAGCAGGAAGAGTTTCCAATTCTGCTGTAGAATGGAAATGATGACGACACCCCTATTAAAGGAATAGTCCAACATTTTGGACACATCAGACACACAGTTTCCACACTTCAGGAAGTCCACTAGTCCAGCACATAAGCCCCAGTAAAACCACAACTTCATCTTCTCACACTTCTGTTTTTGTACGGACGAAATAAGCAATAAATAACGTGTTAATAAGACCAGTAGGTGTTGTTGTTTTTTCACAATGCTTAATATGTTGAGGTAATGCACATGCAGCACTGCAGCATCCTGTGTAAAGCACAATGATGCTCACCACTTTTCATAGCAATCCATATGTTTCTAAACCTGCCATGTAGACGTTTTTTCTTTCATTTCACTATGTATGAAGATCTAACAATAAAGTCTTGTAAGCTGCTTGAGTTTGTATTTATTCCTTCATCGGGAATATTTTGTCATTTGACAATAAAGTACATGCAGGGACCTGTTGGAAGGTTTACCTGTTGATGCATTTAAAAACACTTTAAAAATCAGCTACAGAATGGCGACCACTTTAATGCAAGACAAAAAAGGCTGTTAAAAAGTGTTAATTCTCACATGTTGGAGTTTTGAATGTGTTACCTGTAAGCAAGTGGAGTATGAGGCAACTTTGACCAAAAAAATAGAAACCTACATTTTTATGGCCAAAAATAACAAAGTAGTAAATGAACATGCACAGGAGAAACAGTACATGTTAAGTTTTGGAGTTGCAGCTTTGCACAAGTGCACAAAACTCTCTAAACTCAACATTTTCAGCTGATACTTGTCACGCATACAGGAAGAAGCTCATGGCAGAGAGCAGAGGCCGAGGCAGAGAGACGATCCCGAGTTCAGACAGAGAAGCCATGTCGAAGAAAAACACTGACTAATGTAGACGTAGATGACGTGTGAGGCGGAGGTGGCTGCAGTACGGCTTTAAAAGCCTTCATCACACATTGGGAATCAAAGATATCTAACAGGAGTTATCCAAGTGAATCCCTCTGTAATAAGCTCTTTGTAGCAGCTCACCTTTTCCCAGATGAGAGTGGTGCCTTTCCTGTGGAGGGCAGACTCGGTGTTGTAGTTGATATCAAACTCAGAGAACAGGATCTCGTTTTTGTCTGCAGCTAATGTTCCCTAGAGGGAGACATCACACAGTTATACATATGGATGTAAAGATTACAAAAATGTGTGTAAACAAAAATCATCTAATTTTTCAGTGAGGCCTCACTGACAAAGTCATCTCATCCCACTGGTTCTATTGCTGTTTGAATGAGGGATTCCATCGAGGCGATGATCTATAAGGAAGATTATCTTTGACTTGGGCTATTTTTTTCCCCAAAGAAACATTTGTAAAGTGATAAAAAGGAACTAGGAAGCATGACGGGTTGATGGGACGACTCGCGGACATTTCCACAACTCGTCACTTCCCTCGGAGCCCACCAGAGAACGAGGCGACTTCAAGAGGACAGATGTGTCAGTCAGTCGCATGTGTTCATCTCCAACGAGAATAAACCAGAAGTAAATATTGTGCTGGCCGTGTTAATACGCATAAAGAAATGGGCCAATGAAATGCAGTCACAGCTGTACCTTCATATGCATCCACCTGACATCCAGAAACATGGCTTCTTGGTAACATAACAAATATTTATATGATCAAAGTTTACCGACTAATAAGTCTGTCAGTGTATATTGAGTTGATTAATACATACAGTTGTGTGAAAAAGTGTTTGCCCCCTTCCTGATTTCTTATTTTTTTGCATGTTTGTCACACTTAAATGTTTCACATCATCAAACAAATTTAAATCTTAGACAAAGATAACACAAGTAAACACAAAATGCAGTTTTTAAATGAAGGTTTTTATTATTAAACGGGAAAAAAATCCAAACCTACATGGCCCTGTGTGAAAAAGTGATTGCCCCCCCCTGTTAAAACATAAATTAACTTTGGTTTATCACATCTTTGGAAAGCTGAGTTCAATTTCTCTAGCCACACCCAGGCCTGATTACTGCCACACCTGTTCTCAATCAAGAAATCACTTAAATAGGACCTGCCTGACAAAGTGAGGAAGACCAAAAGATCCTCAAAAGCTAGACATCATGCTGCGATCCAAAGAAATTCAGGAACAAATGAGAAACAAAGTAATTGAGATCCATCAGTCTGGAAAAGGTTACAAAGCCATTTCTAAAGCTTTGGGACTCCAGCGAACCACAGTGAGAGCCATTATCCACAAATGGCGAAAACATGGAACAGTGGTGAACCTTCCCAGGAGTGGCCGGCCGACCAAAATTACCCCAAGAGCGCAGCGACGACTCATCCAAGAGGTCACAAAAGACCCCAGAACAACATCCAAAGAACTGCAGGCCTCACTTGCCTCAATTAAGGTCAGTGTTCATGACTCCACCATAAGAAAGAGACTGGGCAAAAATGGCCTGCATGGCAGAGTTCCAAGACGAAAACCACTGCTGAGCAAAAAGAACATAAAGGCTCGTCTCAGTTTTGCCAGAAAACATCTTGATGATCCCCAAGACTTTTGGGAAAATACTCTGTGGACTGACAAGACAAAAGTTGAACTTTTTGGAAGGTGTATGTCCCATTACATCTGGCGTAAAAGTAACACGGCATTTCAGAAAAGGAACATCATACCAACAGTAAAATATGGTGGTGGTAGTGTGAAGGTCTGGGGCTGTTTTGCTGCTTCAGGACCTGGAAGACTTGCTGTGGTAAATGGAACCATGAATTCTGCTGTCTACCAAAAAATCCTGAAGGAGAATGTCCGGCCAACTGTTCGTGACCTCAAGCTGAAGCGCACTTGGTTTCTGCAGCAGGACAATGATCCAAAACACACCAGCAAGTCCACCTCTGAATGGCTTAAGAAAAACAAAATGAAGACTTTGGAGTGGCCTAGTCAAAGTCCCGACCTGAATCCGATTGAGATGCTGTGGCATGACCTTAAAAAGGCGGTTCATGCTCGAAAACCCTCCAATGTGGCTGAATTACAACAATTCTGCAAAGATGAGTGGGCCAAAATTCCTCTACAGCGCTGTAAAAGACTCATTGCCAGTTATCGCAAACGCTTGATTGCAGTTGTTGCTGCTAAGGGTGGCCCAACCAGTTATTAGGTTTAGGGGGCAATCACTTTTTCACACAGGGCCATGTAGGTTTGGATTTTTCTTTTCCCCTTTAATAATAAAAACCTTCATTTAAAAACTGCATTTTGTGTTTACTTGTGTTATCTTTGTCTAATATTTAAATTTGTTTGATGATCTGAAACATTTAAATGTGACAAACGTGCAAAAAAATAAGAAATCAGGAAGGGGGCAAACACTTTTTCACACAACTGTAGTTATCAATAAGGGGAGCAGCTGTGTGTTTGAACTTTATTTGCTGCTAAGAATATTGTTTATTTTATATATATTGATTTATTTACATTTGTTGTTGGCGTTGAAATAGTATAGTGTACAATAGTGAGTTATTTAAACACGGCTGCTGTTGCTGCTTAGGAAAAACAATGCGTCTTTTTTCTAATTTATTGTCTTTTTTTCCCCTCACAAAATAATAAAAAAGAACCGATAAGCAGTATCGATAAGAGTACAAGTATTGATAAAACCCTAACGATACCCATCCCTAATAATGATATGAATCAGAGAAAAGAGCTTTAAAGCTGCAGCAGAAAATGTTTAGTCTATTTATTTGATAAAAGACTTAAACAATAAATTGATGGTTTATATTGTATTTGATTAATTTCTTGTCAATTGACTGACTAATCAGACAAAAGTGGCTTACAGTTTAAAAAAGAAAATGTGCATCTCATCTGTAGCAAGACTGAAACATTCATTGTGTGTAGACAGTAATATGTCTTAATAAATGTATTCATGTTTTATAAACTATAAATATGCGGGATTTGTTTTTAATGTTGGTTTGGAGATCTCACTGTTCTTCTCTTGTTCTCTTTAAAGATATTCAAAAGGAATAAAGATCAAAAGAAGAGGTATTCCCATTATCATAACACAGTATATCTGTATAAACACATGCATCTGTACACAAAAACACATATTAATCACCTTTAAGCGATCCTCTGCCTGGGCTGTGGTGAGTCCCCCCTTTTGTACTAAAGTCCAAAACACTGTGTTGTACAGATTATTGATGTGACCTGAAAGACACAGGAACACGTGTGCAGTCGTCAGCTTCATGAACCGATGCATCTAGAAGTCAAATGCACGATCTGTACAACAGTCAGCACTTACAGTCTGCTTGCCTCCAGCTGAGGTAGTCTCTGAGGTTGCGGTTGCTGGGATACAGGACCACGCGTCCGTCAAAGCCCGGGGGGTACAAGAGGGGCTGCTCCCCGAAAAACTCCTTCCAGTAAAACACATATGAGGAGGAGAACTGGGAGGCCACATGAGTCATGAGCTTACTGCCAGGAGAGAGAGAGAGGAAGAAGTTAAGTGAAAAGCGTGAAAAGCTTGTGTGGGAATGACGTTGGACGAAACATTGGTACCTGGCTCTCCTCTTAAACCAGGTAGAGGTCCTCTTGAAAACAAAGCTGAACTCATCACTTTGACCATAAGCAATACTGACGTCCTCTAGTTCTTCCATGACAGAGCGTGCACTCCGGGTCATCAGGCCCAAAGCCCGGTTATCACTGGGCTTTATAAACTTGTGCTGCTCTGCAAACCTGAAACAAAAAGCATGAAGAAACTTAGAACAAGAGAATCGTGTACAGCATCCTATGGATTGGCACACAGCTTGAAGAGGAAACTCACTTGTGGAAGTTGCGTCCATCCAGTCTCACAACAATGTAGCAGTTTCGGAGACAAGTGTCATCGGTTTCAAAGTTGCGGACGTACTCAAACTTGCTCTTGGCCATGTTGCTGGAAGCGGTAAAAAGACAGGCCAGAGGTTGGACAACACAAGACCGGACACGTCCACCGAATCTGCAGGCCTTTCCAATCAGCATGAGGGTGCTCCTGGAACGAAAAAGCAATAAGCGCACACATAATGTACTTTACAAAGAAATTTACAGCAGGATCAATTTATTTAAAAAAATTATAAAAAAAAATGAACCAATCACATGAACACTCTTCTTGATGCTGCAATATTCGTATCTCTGCTGCTTATTGATATTGTAATTGTGTGCTATCGCCCACTATCCACAACAACCATATTATGACATCGAAGCAAATTAAAAAACACATTTCACTCATGACGGGGCTAATAATGGGATTACTGTCACAGGTTCCTCTGACCATCTTTAACATTGGTCATTACTTACACTTGGATATCTTGTGTTGTGCTCGTAAGTTAGCTGACGTTGCTCCGTTTGTTTCATGCGTTAATATCTTGATATTTCGTAAGTTACACAAACACCAATATTCAATATAGAGTAGAGTAATGAAGCAGTGTCGACGACTGATATCTACATTTATCCTCAGACGGTTGTCGGGTCACACACGTTGGTTTGTGTATAGTCCATCAACGAATTATGTCGTAGTGAAGCCGCAAACCACCGAACAAAGGTTCCGGAGCACAAGACTGAAATTAACAAACAATTAATTAAAATCAAATAGCGTGTTACTTTCAGTTGCTTGTTCACCCACTTTAAACGACCATTATCATACAAATTAATTATTGTGCTGCTGCTTTGGAGTATATGTACATCAAAGCAAGCAGATGTATCATACTTATGTAGGAGCTAGAAAATATAACCTGTGTTTTAGCGCCATCTTGTGGTTATGGAGAGAAAGTGGAGACCAAAGATCGTGTATGTGTAAGATGAAACACGTCGTACGTTTAAGATGAAACACGTCGTACGTAACTGGTCGGCGGTTTTCTGGGGAAATTCGTTGGGATTGTTTCATGAATGCATACCTAATTAGGCAATTACTATCTAAATATTACAGGAAATAAAACATAACGTTAGATAACAACATAAAAACGCTTCCCGGATTGAAAAGCTCCACAATAATTGCGTGCTCGCTCGTGTCTCTGACGTTTAGGGTCTCCTAAAATAGGTGCAGAGTGTAACCTCAGCCTTTAACTGACGGCAGCTACTTAACCAGGATTCTTCACTTTACCGTGTGCTCGTGGTGCTCATCTGCGGCTGTTTCAAACATGGAGGAGAGAGAAAGAAAAAGTGCAAAGTCTGACATTAAAGAAACGGTCGCTTCAGGCTGTTCACGAGCGCCACCAGTACCGGAGCACGAAGCGGCGGCGGGCAGCAAAGCCGGGGACGATGACGCAGACAAAACAGACGTCTGCTCTGATAACTTTGACCCGCTCTTGGCCTTGTACTCACCGTCGGTACCGCTTCCTTTCCCAAATATCAAGGGCTTCAACAATGTGGCGGCGTACGAGAGTTTCATGAAGGGCGGCCGGGGCAGAGCCAAACCGGAGAACGTGGAGAAAAGACGACGGAAGGCGATGAAAGGGGTGGCGGACCCGGAACGCATCGAAAGGCTGAAGAAGCTTATTGTGAACAACCCGGTGTCCGAGAAGGGGGAGAGCAGCAGCGGCACTGCGCGGAGAAAGAGGCAGAAGCCCCAGAAAAACGTCCTGACGAGGATGCCCCGTAGGTTCAACAACCACCACTAATAACAACAACGTCAGCACATTAACCCTGCTTCTGTTGGGAGTGCAAGTGCTGCACAGAAGTGTCACTCAATGCACAGGGCCTCTCAAAGCCTCTCCTAATAATAAGTTATCACCCAGTTATGGTTATGACTCCTTCATAATATTTTCATTTCAGACACGTCTCAACCCTTACAGTCACTTTACGGCAGGGCATCATCCTGCTCTTCAAATGGGAAACCACACATGTTCCATTATTACCTTGAAGCTGAAGGCACAATACAATACACAGTCGTGTTGTGAATATCTATAAACATGAGAAGATGGGGTCAAATCCCCATTATTCTGAGGCTATGGTGTGATGCATTTGAATATTAAGATTGACAGTGAATCCTCACAACTCAGAAGCTGTAACCAGAGATTCTCTGTCCATCATCCAATAGAAAAGTCCAAATCTAGTTCTAACTTCTTGCATGTTGAGCATTGCTCGGCGGAAATGTTTTTGCTTGTTTTTTCGTCGATCACTTAATTGGCCGTAGAGACGGTCGAGTAACCCGTTTGGTCGCGTGTCTTCAGTGTGCACAGGCAGTCCGTTGGGCGAGCTGTACAGATGTGTCCAGGAGAGGATAAGAGTCAAAGTTCACATCAGGACCTTCAAGGGACTGAGGGGAGTGTGCTCCGGCTTCGTCGTGGCCTTCGACAAGTTCTGGAACATGGTGAGCTCTCACACTCGTGTCCTTGTGACCGTGACGTCTTAATATTGTCCTCTTCACCATTTGTTTTTATTTCTCCTCACCAGGCAATGGTAGATGTCGATGAGACGTACAGAGAGCCTCTGCTCGGAGAGGCGTTCTACCACGAAAAGGCCCTCACCATTTCACGGGTAAGCCCTAATTTTCAATGTATATCTGACCGGAATACATTACTTGCATTACCGGTGCAGGGCACAGTGAGGTCCGTTACCCTGCTGAGGACTTGGACGTGTGCATGGAGCTCTTCATCTCACTGCGGCTGCTCCTTCCTGTTTCATTGCTCCCTGAAATATTTAAACCTGATCGGTTGTCTCAAAAACATTGTCTTGTTTTGTACAGACATTTTTGAATGTACATGTAGCTGTCAGTGCCAACATAAGGAATGCCTTGTTTCTTTTCATATGAACTAGCAGCAGTAAGAAGCATTGTTAGTATTCGCAGTAACAGTGATGCTGGATTACATGCATGCGCCGCTTCTGTAAGTAGTATTACTATAGAGAGAGGCAATTAAAGGATGTTGGGTGTAGTTTAAAAAAAAAAAAAAAAGGACAACCATAAATATTCGAATCAAAATGTGGTTTGTTTTCATGTTAATGCGACTGACATCTCTGTGCAGCTCTTTGAGAAGCTGAAGCTCCAGGAGAACCCAGGAGGTGATGAGCCAGCAGAAGCACAGGAAACAGCCGGCGAGCATCGGCGGCCGGCGAACCCCAAAAGTGCCCCGAAAAACCAGCCCGCTCACCCGACCGGCGAGAGAGGGGACGGCGGGATGGACTCCAAGCTGTCCGACGCTGTTGGAGTCAAACGGGACAAACGCAGAGTCTCGCTGAAGGCCCAGGGCCCCGAGGCGTGTCCGAGGAGAGACTCCCAGACGTACGGCAGGGTCCACACGCGCCACATCAACCAGCTCTTCATCCGGGGGGAGAACGTGCTCCTGGTTAACCCACAGCCACTCTGAGTACTGTCCTCGGTCTGATAACAGAAAGCTGGCCTACAAACAATTAAGTGAAACATCTGAAATGAACTGCCAGAGATTACATTTCATTAGATTCAGGGGAATCAAAGGAGGACTGTTATATCATATTGATATGGAGGTTATTCTCTGCCCACCAGAGAAAGGATCTTGATTTTTTTTTTTTTTTTAAGGAATAAAAGCTTCTCACTTCGAATTAGTAATTTCTTGTCTTGTTTTGTTGTCTTGACAGCCACTCAATTTATTTTGACACAATAACTGCGCGTGTGTTATGGTTATTACCCAGCAGGTGGCAGCATAAACGCATTAGTGCCATCTGCGGGGCCATTGTCATCTCAGAGAGCTTGTCCCTTTATGTTGCTTTTCCCCGTTAGTTTGAGCAGGAATGACAGCGCAGTCTCAGCGGACTTCATAAATGCATTATGAATAATTGAGTTTGTGAAGCTCGAGATTGCAGATGGCACTCAAAAGCTGTCATTTGTCTTGACGTCTCAGATTGCTTTTACTCTTTAATGGGCACATTACCCATAAAAGCACAATTTACTGCATCTCATGGAAGTTGTAAAGATGCTGCTTCCTTTTTTTTTTCTTTCCTGTTTGAAACCGGCAGAGGTTACTTTTGGATGATGAGCGGCACAGAATGACTTCATGTTGCGATGTTTGTGGGTCTGAATGTCTTATTTTAGTTTTTCTTAATTTGACTGCAGAGTTTAATTGACCCTCTTTCTATATATTTTCATGCCATAAATGGGACACATTCTAGCAGTAGCTGTTCATATATAGTTACTTTTCACATATATATTATTAGTGTAGCCCATTTAACAGGCCTCTCCAGAGAGTGGAAAATGGGGTCAATTGTTTAATGCAAGCTGTGTTTTAGTCGTGTTTGTCACACCAGTGTGTTCCAACAAACCTCGGTACACTACGAGAAGGGCACAGCACTGGTGGTGAAGAGACGCGCCGCAATTAGACTACACAACCTTCCTCCTGAGTGTGTCAGAGTAATCAGGGCAAACTGTACATTTCATCAGCTGAATGATATTAAAGGACAAAGTAACATTTCTTTACGTTAAACTTTATTAACTGCACCGGTCTCAATGAGCCTTATTCCAGTGAACGTGTTGGCGGCTCCATCCCATAATGTCTTAGTGTGATCTACTTTCTGCTCCTGCATGTTCACTTTGCAGTGGCACCCTATGGATTTGGTATCCGGCGAGATCATTTATCGTCCGATTTGCTACATTCGTGGCTTCCTGCCCTTATTAATGTGAATTGTGCATATTTACCGTCGACCTTTCTTTATTACCTCAAACAACTAAGTTCACAAACTCGCATTAACTAAATGTAATTTCAAAGTCGAGCGCGGCGGCGTCCCTTTTGCTGCTTGAAGCTCTTTTGAATGAGGCTAATGACACAGCACACCAAATAACACACCCCATTAACACATTTCAATCAACTGTTTAATGTTGTAGATAAAGAATCAATGTGGAAAACAAATCGAAACAATGCAAAATTTCATTTTCTCAAAGGATTTTCTTTTACATTTGCATATGCTAGTGTTTCAGTAACAATCCCATTTTAGAGAAGATCAAATCAATTCCAAGTACAAAATGAATAAAACAAACCTCTACTGATATATTTTAGAAAAAACAGCAAACAGATTTTGGTCATTTTAATGCTTCAGGCTCCGACGCAAAGGCTACTACGTGTTAGTGTGCTCAGCCTCCGAGCCCTCGGGAGAGTAGGAAAGCTTCAAGAACCTCAAAGCTCTCTGGGGCTGCAGAACCCACCGCCTTCTCCTCTGGTCAGTGAATTATTCATCTAGCCATTGACGTACTAAAAAATGTTAGGCAGCCGAGATTTACTTACTCATTACAAGGGTCAGGAGGCAACCACCGGCAGGCACTTGAACCGCTGAGGAGCGATGTGTTGTACGTCTAACAGATCAGCGAGCTGGTGCACTGTTCATTATGCGCTAACCCCCACACCACTGACCTACTGGGGGAGTACCGACTGGCAAAAAGCGCTCCCCTCTCATACATCTTCCGGTTATGACGGCAGCACGGTTTCTGAGATTGCTGTTTTAAAAAAAAAAGTGTAACTGAGAGGGCCGCATTTACCGAGATGAACGTTTAACAGCTGGACGCAATCTGAATAAGAGTCCGTGATTTCATATATATTTCAACCTGGGCTGTTCTGAAGTTACCGCTGACCTGCGTGTGGGACGAACAAAACGGGGAGCGAAGTAACTACACGATTGCATCCGATGTCT